TTATCTACACTGTATTGGTGTTCAAACATTCATTGGTGCTTTTTCCACAAAAGAATTTATGGGATGCACCGTTTTTACTATCGTGTTGAGTTTTTTTTTTCAGCGCAAATCAAACTCCACCCCCAACCCCCACTAACCCCAAAAGGAAAGAAGAAGGCAAACAGTAGTAAAGTGTGCGTCCTTGAGGTAAAACACTGGATGGAAAAACTGTTAATTTATAGCAGCACAGAACAAGTGAAAAAGACTTAAAAGAAACAAAAGAACCATAGAAACGAAGTAAGACCCTACCAGTTGTGTCATCTGCATCTACCTCAATGTGCAAAAGCAGCCACAAATAAATTTTTTTTAAACCTCAGAAAGATCCATATTATCATTAACAACAGCTTAAAGAATAAATCAGAGAACTCAAAAAAAGAACACACAGCAACTTTTACAAAATGCCCCAGTGGTAATGCTGTAGATTTTATTCATGCTCCGAGAAGGTCACTTGAAAACATAATATTTAAAAAATATACAGCAGAGTCAAAAATGTCAATCTCCCTTCACTGTGGCAATGTGTGTAGCTGTAGTTTCCTTCGACTCGACACATACAGAGATTCTTGTCATGTGAGATGTTACAGTTACAGGAAGTCAAATTGTCACCAGGAACATAAAACAAAGTCAAGATAACAATATGTTGTAAAGGAAACCTAAAAAGAAGGATAATCATGGATACTATTTTGCACATGAAATGGGGACATTTTATGGAAGTCAATTATGGTTGACATTTAAAGTAGGCCTACCTACCAGTTATTTATTTACTGAGCTGAGTCAGACTTGACGCTCGACAGAAACTCACCATGCACACCTCTCGCTATCTGTTTTCGCCTTGGTTGCTAAGCAACAAAATGTAGGTCTTCATTTAATAACAATAAAAACATTGGAACTTTATAAATAAAAATTATCAAAGAGCTAATGCCAGTCCTCATTTTCTCTGTAGGCCTAGAGATTTTCAAGTCATAATTTGCTTGCTGTTGAAGTTCTATAATAAAAAGGCACAGTATGGCTCATCTCAAAAGTAAAGCACTCCCTCCATTCTCACCCATAATATATCCATTCTCGCATAATATAGATACAATCAAAATACATAAGGTTCCTAATTTAGAATTGAATCTCAAACTTACACAGCTTGACTGACAAGGAAACTAACAGCTAAACAAAACAGCAGTATAAAAAAAACAAAAAACCTCACTACTTAAGGTAACCTTCAATGATTGTTTGACTGTAGGCCTATAGACTATTCTATGACTCTCTATTGCTTGCTTTCTGCTTTGTTGGACTAAAACATAGGCCTACTTTGGTAGGCTTTTGCTGAAGTCACAAAACATTAAGCTTCAAAATGAACAACAAGATAATCAACAAAATAAAGAGATGATATGTTTGATATCACCGAGATAAACACTTGTATGTATCTTAACATGCTTGTCATGCACACTTTGAAGAATTGAAAAAAACAAACCCAAACTTCTTTTTTTTTTATAGCAGAGGGTTTTACGGCGCTCGCAACTGCATAAAGTCATATGAGCGCCAAGGGGTGGGTGTCAACAGAGAAGTCTTTACAAGGAGACAGACTTAGACTGCTCACCTCTCTAGCTTCAACAGCACAAGGTCTGCTTCGACTATCAAGGCACCCCAAAATAGCAGGTCACAAGAGAGTGACAAACATACAAAAGAAGTAGAGGAAAATGACAATAGTAAGGAACAGGAAAGAAAAAGCAGCAGTTCCCTGTTGTAGATCAGGCACAGTTATGAGCGTGACATAAGTCAGCCCATATACAATTCTACTATGCTTGAACGAGAAATGTCCCCCCTTTGGGAATGGCCTAAAGACACTTCAGTCAGTGGCACTGCCCCGGGGGGTTAACCCAAACTTGTTAAGAAAACCCATTGCACTATCACAGAATGCTTAGTGAACATTCCATAAGAGATGAAGGGTGTAAGGATTTGATTATATATTTTGATGAAACAGCCAATCAAATTACAAGTTAAAACAATATCAAAACTATAAAGGGGGATAAAAAAAAAACACCACTCCCCCCTCCCCCCAAAAAAACAATGATTAAGAGAATATCCACAATTTGATCAAGCACTCCCAATTTGTGTATAAAGTAAAAAGTATCTTCAGTTTCATTGCTTTAAGCATGTACATGAACATAAAGATCGGGACAAAAAACTCCAAGAATGCCTATGTACATCATGCTCCACCCTTAATCCAAGCAGAGCAACAATACAAGAATAATAACTGTACCATTCTTTGAACACGAGACATATTACTATAATCTATTAAAGGAGAACATATAATTGAATTGAAAGCAAAGGTTAAAAAAACAGTATGATTTTGTGTAAACATACCTTTCACTTTCAATATTTATCATTTTCTTTTTCTTTTCAATGCCAACACCAACAATGGACTATATTGCCATGATAAATATGTAAATGGCAATCTTAAACATAACACTGCAGCAACCTCAGAAATTCTACTTTTCTTGGAAAACATTTCAAACTCTTACAAATTGCAGCACTCTGTATAAATAGCACCAATTTTTTGCAACAAGAAATGACACATGACATTTGAAGAAAGACAGCAAAGACGTGATGGCATTCTAAGAGACTTTAGTTATATAGACTGTCACCTCATGATAAACTCTCTGGCTCCCTTGACAGCAGTCCTCTGCCCTCTCTGTTTCTGGTCCACATACAACATTCCTGGGATAAATCTCCTAACAGTTAAAACTACCACTAGATGGCATTGCTGAAAAAAGCTTTCTGCCAAACAGGGCGTAGTTACAAATTACATGTACTTCATTATTCTTATGGAAAAAAAAATTAACAAAATATCTTTATCTTCCTTCCCTGCCACAAGTAAATCTTTGACCTAACCTCCTGTAAAATACGCTTGTATACAAATTAGTTATTTGTTTTTTTCTTCCCTTCCTTGAAAAGTCATCATCATTGTTCCCAGCTCCTTTTATCAACTCACAAGAGCGTACAAACATCACTGCAAGCATCGCAGAAACCGTTGACAATAATCGACCCCACATGCCAATGAGAAAATAGCTGTTTTTTCTCAGAGTGTGTAAGTACTATGGGCATGTGCAGTCCTAGATACAAGTGTATAATTATTGTAAACAGAGCATACTACAGATATATTATATTCTATAAAAGCATAACACACTTTTTAAAATATAAAATAAACCTATTCAAAGCTTAACCAATCACTTGAACAAAAAGACAATTAATAAAAATACCCCAGAAGGAATTGTCAACAGACTATAAAGAAATATTCAAGAACTTACCAAATAAACTTACTGGAGAGTTTGATTTTGTAAATTTTAATGCATAGCTACTTAAATGTACATGGATAATTACATATTTACAATGCTAAAAAAAAGGTATATGTGGGGCAATTGAGAACAAATATTGTTTAAAAACATATGCATATTTTTTCATCTCTCAAAAACTATGATTAAGTACAGATCAGGTTTGACTTCTGTCTGAAAGAGGAACATGTATTGAATATGAAGCATGAAACAACAGTAAACAAACAATTGGGCATCATTTGAGAGTGAAAATGGTCTAAAAGTGAACAAGAATAGATTTTTTCAAAACTTTGTTACACAGACTTAATAATATGTGATCTTGAATTGAGCAAAAAGAAGTTTTAGGTCATTCTTTACTATGAAAGAAAAAGAACATTCATCATAAAAGTGGTCTTGGTTATATCTATTAAAAATGGTGACTTCTTCATATATTTATTGGTTCGAGAACAGTTGTCAACATTTTATCATCTTTTTAATATTTAGAATTATGAGCCCATCTGCAAGTGAAACCAAAATTAAATTACAAACAATGCATAGTTTAAAAAGGACAAAAAACATTCATTAAGCTCAATTCTCTAAATCGAGATAGAAAGACAACTGTGGATAAAATCATACCCCCAATTTTTTTTATTCATTATTTTCACAGGAAGCTTGACATGCAGCATAAACTTTGTCACAGAATCCTTTTAGTTTTGAGATTTTGAGAAACAATGAAATAAGTTAATTGATCTTTAAATTTCACTAAAAAATGTTCCTTCACAAACCATCACTTCAACCCTAATCACCTAATCATTGATGGTTGTTGAGGCTAACTTAGTTATAAATACAAACTGATTTCATTAAACCAAACACTGTAAAAGGATAGCAAAATAAAGTGAAGTTCATCAAATTTAAAATCCTTATATAAAATCACAAGACTTATTTTGAGTTTTTAAAATTATGAAACAAAGTCCGACCACTAACATCAATCTCATATTCATAGACCATCCACCACAAGACACAGTCATTAATCCCATTAACATACAGCCCTTTTATCAGGGAGTAAGCATGCAGGTTTGAAAACAATAAAGTAATCTAAAAACCAAAACATATTTTGTATGACAAAACATCACACTTCCACTCCGCAAAAAAAAAGTATAAAAACTAATATGTATAAAATATTCAAATATATCTGGCAAGCAGCTGTTGTAAATAGCTTTTGAAGAAAGGAATTTTAAGCAGATTGTTCCATAGTACTTCAGAAGGCCCAATGGATATGGTAATATGGTGGTAAAGGTAGTGAGAAACATCCACATAATAAAATGTGAGACATCGGACTGAAATCAGACACTCATTAAAATAATAAAAGCGGAAAAAGCAATATTTTTCCGTCGGTTAGACAATTTTATCTATTTTTTTGTTCTTTGGCTCAAAACCTTTCAAATCCATTTAAAACACATTTCTTCATGAATTTTACTGAAAAACGTTGATTAAGGTACAAAAAATGTAAATTTTGTGTTTCCAAGCTATGGAAGTCTCTCTCTAATTTTACCTCAGAAACTGAAAAACCTCTACTAAAACAAAACAAAGAAAAACAAGAAACCAGGGACCACCATCTCCTTCAATCGCAAATATCTTGACTTTGAGAAAGATAGATGGGTATTTTTTTCATTTTAAGCAAGACAAATGAACAAACCTTAAGATGATACCAATAACTCCACATTTTAAAGCTGACAATTGCAACATTAAAAACTGGGGAACAAAATGTACAAAGATTGGAAAAATTAATATCAAATTTAGTCTTGACTTACAAAAACACTGTATACAGTGAGACACAGCCAGAGAAAGACAAAATTGCAATTTCAATAACAAAGACCAGTTAACTTTAGTTCCATTTCTGTAGTAGGAAACATAATGCTCTTAGAAAGAAAAAAAACCCTGCAGTAATGTCTATTCTTCCAAATTTGAAGTAGCAGCAAAGAAAACAAGATAGCCTTACATAACCCCCCCAAAAAAAATAAAAAAATAAAAACCACCCCAAAAAACAGATTCACTTCTGTGGACAGGTACATCAATGACTGCTATCCCTGAGACAACACGATAGACTCTTCTAAATTTTAGCTCAATTTACTTTTTTTTTTTTATTCTGGTATTAAAAGGCGAATAAAAAATTTTTTTTATAAAGGGACAAACAGTATAAAAATGCATATATGTAAACATTTCAATACCTACAACAATACGCTCTAATATGAACATAAATTGTTCATACGTCTAGCCAAAATCCTACCCCAGCGCAGGAGGCAAATTCTCTGTTTCTATCAGTGGCGGGTTACCATCACACATCACAGTTAATCAGTGAACACTATACACACCATTTACATGGTTGTTGGCAGACTTGACAGCAAAGTTATTCACATATGGGCTATAATCTTCAGCGTCCAAGTTTTGGCCTCCAGGAAAGCTTGGATTCCTATATGCTGGTGGCTTATCCAAGTGGTCCAAGTCATAGCTAGATGTTGACTGGGGACACAAGAAAATTTGGAATATCCATATTATATTATGTATTAAGATGATCAGTTATTAAAAGTATTGGGAAAAGGATGATCAAGAGCTTGTAAAATTCTGTTTCCTTGTGGGGATCACTGTAATACATTTTTGCATGCATATAACGAAATTTGCAGGATGCAGAAATCTTTTCATTATGTACAAATTTCGTTATGTATGTGTTTTAAAAATACAAAAAATATACATGCAAGCAAAAGTTCCAGAAAATTTATTTACTATGTGGATGTTTTGCTATGTCAGTGTTCGCTATGTTTATGTTAGACTGTCATTCATCCTATGACCCGCGATAAGTCCGGTTAGGGAATTTGGAGGCCCCAAAATTTAAGGTTAGATAAAGCTTAAACCGTTGGTTTGGGAAATATTTTTGATGAATCTGTTTATCTAAAAAGCATCCATATATTTAGAAATACTAGATTGCATTCAGATTGAGTATTTCTTATATGATTGTCTACTGTGTCATTCTTTTCTAATCCTCTATGATCTTCTAGTCCCATTAAATTTCAAAAGCCATGCCCTTTTAAAAATGCTTTCAGTGCACATGGCCATTGCTGTTTTTCAACTCTCAAACTGTTTTTACAGGGCTCAGTTACAGATTATGTCAAATATATCATTGGTTCCCAACTCTAACAGTTTTGTATCTGCCAAATTAGGTTTAACACTTTTTTTTTGTCTGAAGTCATGTTATTAAAAACCATAGTTACAAATAGGTTGATCAATAATTAGTAAAAGAATACTCTGTAAAGCAAAATCTGAGTAATTCTGGGAGTAACGAGAAATATTTTTTTTTACCGAAAAAAAGTGTTAGACCTAATCGCTCTGTTTGAGTCGGAGAACAACGATATTTATATTTATAAAAGATTTAGTCAAATCAGTTAGTTGTGTGTAACTTAAATATCTGTACATAGTATAGTACGGAAGAAAAGTATAGTACAGAAGCCAAGGGCAAGGTCAAGGGAAGTTAGCAAAGTCAGGTGTTCACATTATGACATCATCAACAAGTTAAGGGACGGAACTTTCAAAAGCCTTTGTATAGAGGAGGGAAAGGTTCATACTGTCCTAGTATGAAGTAAGCCACAGTTTCAAAGCTCAACAGTTGAATTCATAATAGGTCATATTGTAGTGTACGAGGGGGATTCAAGAAGTCTTTGGTCTAAATATGAAGGAATATAGCTAGAGCTTTGTAACTTGGCACATATACTTTTATTTCTCTACACAGTCACCACGCAGAGTAACACATTTCTGCTACCTCTCTTGTCCTTGAGAAAAAAATGACACAGAATGGGCCCCTAACCAGTCTTCCACAGCTTCAATGGCGTCCTTCTTGTCATGGGAACGACATCCTTTCAATGATTTTTTAAGATTAGGAAACAGAAAAAAGTCTGAAGGGGCTACGTCTGGTGAATAAACTGGCTGTGCACAATTTCAAAGCCGCCCTGTGCTGCTGTCTGGACTGTTTGCTGTGCCTTGTGCGCAGGGGCATTGTCATGCAGTAGGAGGACCCCATTACGCAGTTTTCCACACCTTTTTCTAACCAATTCGGACAACAGTTTTATCAGCAAACCCGAATAGTAGTTCCCTGTGACTGTTTTTCCATTTTCCAGGTGGTCAGTCATGATGATACCTTCACAATCCCAGAAACACCACAGCATGACCTTTCCATTTGACGGTGTTACTTTTGCCTTCTTTGGTGAGGGTGAAGAATGGATTTTCCATTGCAGGGAGGACATTTTTTGCTCTGGATCAAAATGATAAATCCATGTTTCATCCATAGTCACCATGTTTTTAAAGAAATTTGTGTCATTGGACTCAATTCGAAGGAGAGTTTTGGCAGGACTCAACCCTCTGCTTCTTTTGCTCACTTATCAAAAGTTGGGGTACCCACTACGCAGACACCTTATTCATGTTAAGATGCTCATGGAGAATTGTTTCATTTGACCCTACACTGATTCCCGTTTCACTTGAGAGCTATTTGACAGTTATACGTCGGTCATGTAAAACCAGTTTCTTCACTATGGATACATTCTCTTCAGTTACCACAAAGAATGGGCGCCCTTCACGATCTTCATCCATCATCTACATGAATGCAGATTTTAATTTTCTTACCCAGTATGCCATAGTACTACAATGAGGACTTTTGTCACCATAAACTTGGACCATTTCCTGAAAAAAGACCAAGGGGGATTTTCCTTGCAAGTGTAAAAACTTAGTAACTGAGCGACATTCAACAGGCTTCATGGCAGAGTTTCAGCAAAGAAAAACCAAACATTTTTGTGCATGGTGTCATTGAACACGCTGACTAGTGCCTTATTATTGTCATATTTTTCCTGAAAATTTGCATGGTGTGTTCCAAAGAAATTGTCTAAAGGCTGGCGAAATTTCATTTCTCTACCACCATGATTCCTTCATACCCAGACCAAAGACTTATTGAACCCCCCTCGTATCAATAGGTGGGTGACAACATTGAAAGCAATTTATAACTAAACCCAACCTCTCCCATTTCTCAAGCTGATTAGATTACTTACCTTTGTAGAGTTATTTTCTTTCTTGCTCCCCTACCCCTCCAATTTTCTTCTTAAGTAAGTGGGGAAGGAAAAGTATGAATAGGACAGAAACATCTAGAACGCTACAGAGTGAGAAGAATTAAACCTTCAAGAGTGCAAAAAAAAAAAGCAAGAATTTATGAGATCATGAGAAGCGATGGACATACCATGGGTCATGAAGCTTAAACACAAGATTTTTGCCCTAAAACTAACATCCAGTTTAACTGATTGTGTCTTTTTCATTTTTCCTAGACTTTGTTTTCAGATACTGCACGCCGGGGGTTTTTTCCGCAAGCTCTTTTATCTTGCGTTTTGCTATTGCCATTTTTGCATACCAGCACATTTTGAATTTCCTACTTTAGTCGCCCAGTGTCATAATATGTATTTGGGATACGATGCAGTACCGCCCTTATAAACATTTCGCCAACAAGCGGAATTCACAGACCACTTTTTAAAAAATCATGAGCTCAAGTTGCAGTCATAAAAAATCCGGTATACAGTAGGCCTATATGAAATTTCAAATGAGACTTGTTTCTATAAAATGTAGGTTGGTACCAAATTTTTAGTCTTTTCCTCATATTGAGCAGACACTTAGCAATCTTTATGTAATTAAGTAACATGGTAACACTGCACAAAACAAAAAATAATTCATACCAATAGTGAATTATGTCAAAGTTTTGAAGTGCAATAAGAAGAGGTTGATACAGGTCGCATAATGTTGTATTATGGTTGGTGACAGCAAAAGAAGCAGTGCACATACACTAAAAATTAATACACTTGTGCCGTTTCAGGAAAAGTGTAGCATTACACACAAAAATCTCCATGATCTGTCCCACTTGAGGCACAACAGTCTCTGACTCTGCTACATTTCATGACATCACAGCACAGCAAATGTTGAGCCACTGACTGAAACCGACCCATAATTCCCCAGCATTTGCTTGTTATTTTCTCACTTTCATCTCGGGTTTGGCTTCTTAAAGCACATTCACTACCTCTTTAAGGCACCCATTCCCCCCCCCCCCCCCCCCCCCAACACCTGCACCCTTTTTTTTCCCTTCATTTTTTATTTTTATTTTGAAAGAAAGGTATGATTTTCTTGCTCGCCATTTTACTTCTCTTTATTTTCGCTTCCCAGCCTCTCATATTGTTTAGAGACGCAATGGAATAGTATTAACAGGTTGCGAAGGTCATAAAAAGAAGCATTCAAAAGTTTTAGGAAAAACACTTACTTTATGGGAAACCACTGACGTATCATGGTGCATGAAAATGCAAAATTTTTATTCTAGTAACTGATGTCGGACTCAACATACTGTACTCTCTCCACTTGTTCTTTGACAATATTCAAGGAAATACTGCTACTTGAAACATACCCCCTGAACTTGGCAAAAAGTGATTTGGCCAAACAATATCAGTGAAGAGTGCTGACAAAACGGGTTACTTTTCAGAGTCTATCCCAAAAGATATAGATTCATAAAAATCTGTAGGTTGAGTTTTTACACGTTAAATTCATTTGTGTGAAATGATAAAAGACATGTTGAATTTGGAGAAAATAGCACCACTTGGAAATCTACAAATTTGACCCATATGTCAATTTTCAGCTGATATTCACTAATTGTGTGAAGTAACTCATCTTGTCAGCATGCCTTACGTAAAGTTGTGTGTCTGATTCTAACAGTGTATCTACCAGATTAGATCAAACATTATAACAAGTAAAAACAATATCATACAGGAAATTTTGAGCAATTCAGGAGGATAACAAAAAACAATTTTATCTTACATTTCTTTCCTTCTAAAAGTAGTTGACCTAATTTGGTAGGTAAGTGTTCAGAATCAGACACCTTTTGTGAGTTTGTACCAAAGTTTTTGTGTCTCCCTCCCACAGAGAATGTTATAAGTTAGCTTTCAAGGTTACATAATACAACTGAATATAACTTTAAAGTGCACAAGGGCTGGCACTACAACAAGTTATAGTAAGTGTCCGAGATATCAAAATATTAAGTTTTTACTTTCCGCAGGAAGCCCCCTGTTCAGCCGATTGTCTTCAGAGAAAAGTCTTGATTTCTGCTCTCCTTCTGAGCAACTTCTACAAAGCCATTTCTCTATGATATCAAAAACAGGCAATGTGAGTACCTTAATTACATTTGTTCAACTGTTACATTTTGAAAAATATTAATACTGTTTTAATTTTAACCCTTTGAGCCCTGACTTCCACGGCTACCGTGCTCCTCCGCCTGAGCTCCTCGGCAATTCACGCTTTTATTCATATCATCTTCAGAACTACATTCCATATCCCACTCAGGGCAATTCTTGTCATTACCAGCAACTAATTCAGAAAGATCTTCAAAATAAACAATAATGTCTTGTGTAGCAAACGCTGTTTTCTGTGCGCGTTCTGTCCCAGGCAGGCTGGTTTGGGGATAGCTTACTGGTGTACAGGTGGCTTGGTATACAGGCATTTTTACATGCCATCACTGTTCCGGTGCCACGGGCTCAAAGGGTTGAAACTTCACATTCATTGAGGCTTTATTGTGTGTGTGTGTGTGAATGTGTGTGTGTGTGTGTGTGTGTGTGTGTGTGTGTGTGTGTGTGTGTGTGTGGGTGTGGGTGGGTGTGTGGGTGTGGGTGTGGGTGTGTGGGTGTGGGTGTGGGTGGGTGTGTGGGTGTGGGTGAGTGTGTGTTTGTGTGTGATACAAACATACATATCAGTGTGATGACACAGTGGAATCAGGCGCTCGTCAATTTTCGGGTTGGTTTCACCTTAAAGCTTATTCATTCGTCTTGCTTTCGATAAAAAAGTACCCATCTATCAAAAACTGAAGTCGAGGTATTTATGATTGAAGGAGGTTGGGGTTGTCTGATTGAAATGTAAAATTAATGCGATAATGGCCACCAAAATGTGATGACTTTCAAAGCTTGAGAGTCCTTGGAAACTGCAAATTTACCCTTTTTTTTGTGCCTTAAATCAACTCTTTTCAGAAATATCCACACATAAATATATATTTTTAAAGGCGTTAAGTCAAAAAACACAAATTTGAAAAAAATTACCAAACAGGCAGAAAAATGCCAGTTTCTTCAATTTCATTCTTTTGACGAGCGCCTGATTTCACCACGGTGCCTCACATATGTCTACAGAGATAGGGGGGGTACTGGGGAAGAAACATCTAAGGAAGTCAGTGGGTGCTCCATACAACTGAAGCAAACTTAAAGATATAAAGAAAACTCTATTGTTTGTATCCTGACATGACTTCCACCACAAAAGTGTCAACTACCCTGAAAAGTGTTTGCAGTGCAGGTCGCAGACATCCAGTCAATGTGTCAGAATTGCATGCAAAGTATACTGTGGAAAATACAATTCAGCACATTCCAAACAGGAAGTTAGAGAAATAACTTTTATTCAACATTATTCGCAGAAAGTACACCAGTAGAATGCCATATAATATGATGTGTGAACGAAGGCTGTTACTAAGTTTTAAGAAAAAGTAAAGAGAATCAAAACTCTTTGACACAGGCACAAGATGTCAGATGGCAAAGAGGTTAGTTTTAAGTGACAGTTTCGTGGTACTCGCAACACAAACAGGTCATATAAGTGCTGAGGATTAGAGGTGTTACTAGAGAGTAACATACAAAGAAAAGAGGGAGAAAAGATAAACACGATAGATGTTTGAATAGGAAAGAAGGAGCAAACCGTACCAGAGCACCTGCCAATCACTCACTGGCAGAGAGGAATGTAAACAGCACTGAAGGCTAACTGAGTCAGGTAGCAACTAGATAGCACAACTTTACACATTGAAAATGTTGCTGAGATGGAAAACTTAATACCAGTGGTTATGTTCAGGATACAGAAATACTGAACAGAACGCTTACATTCAGAAAATACACATTTGTTCATTTTATATAGGCTATACAGCCTTCTTCAGAAGATTAAGTGCAAAACAGATTGACACCCAATTACCTGCCTAATAAATTACTCATCTGTATTGATAAAAGTGTATAACATTACAAATTTAAAAAATTGAAAGTATACTGAAGACCTAAAATTAATATCGTAAGCTCGTAGTTAGAAGTAGTTACCTGTCTGAAACAACAAGGATACTTGTAGTAAGTCCTTTCATCAACGTCCTTGCCTTTATTGCACCCTGTGGGTTAAAATAAAAGAATGCTGTGAACCCAATTTGTCATTTTCCCAGTCACTGTTTAAGATTTCATTATATTGAACATTCAAGACTAATTGATCATGTCTTGGTCTTCCAAGAAAAAAAAAGTGTTTTGGACCCAGTTGTTCTTGCACAATATTCTCACCTTGAACACAAACTTCTAGGAATTGTTTTAGTTGTTAAAATTATTTCAGTTATGTTCGTTCTCAAAGGAGAAGTATGAAAATCCAACCTCATCTGAAACATGAGAACTGATTTCTCTATTGTATAGTCTCAGCCTTTTTCTTTCCTTCCTCTTTATTTTGATATACTCAAACAAGTGTCCTGTCTTTAAACCGGATTACAAGTATCTAGCAAGGTCATTAACTCAGATTAAAATAGAAACGTTATCTTTTCACAATAGCCTAAATGCTTATTGTTATTTTTACCTGTGAGCGCTGAAACAAGCATGCCAACAATGGCAGAGACTAGCAGAGCTAGTGTTGAGTAGTGGAGATAGGACAAGTAGAGATGGTCACTGTCGGCCGAGCTGAGGACAGAATCGTCGGAGTTGTATAGTGAGGAAAGTAGAGTCCAACCTGCTCTAACGACAACCTGTATAAGACAATCACCTGAACAAATAGCCACGTCCCATCCCCCCCCTCCCCCCCACCCATGCTTTAAAAAAAACACATTCTGACACAGTGTAAGATATCCACCTGTGTAAGACAGCCACTATTCTCCTCAACAGTGGATGGCTGTCTCAGACAATTTTCAACTGTATAATCAACTGGATGGCTTTCTTGGACAATTTTCAACTGTATCATCAATCTTGAGGTAAATTACTTTCAACAACACCACCCATCAAAGGAACAGTGAAAAAAAGCTCATTGTTAAAAAGTTTCAGAGGTATTTTGTTTCATGAAGCCCTTAGAACGTGGAGACTAACAGTTTTTAACTATCGTCCTGATAACGGAAGAGAAATCTTTTCCTGCTTTTAAGTGTCTAATGAACATTTCAGGCCCGCGATTACATAATCTCATTACTTCTATAAGTATAAATCCTTACATGCCATTTACAGAGACAGGGCATTTTATTCCACACAGCCAAAAGAAGCCTTGTGATCTTGTGACATCATCATCATCATCCAGAGCCAGATCTGCGACAGACATCGGCGATCATGGTTTTCCATTCATTCCTTTGCTCGGATGCTCTCAAAAAAGCTACGTTTGCCCGATCTTTCCCTGTAACCCATTTGTTTAGGTTCCTTAAGTATGTTGTTCTGGGCCTACCCCTGTCTCGCTTGACCTCAATATTGCCAGTGAGAGCTAGATGTTCAAGACCCTTAAGTCTATTCAGATGTCCCAAAAACTGCATTTGTCGTTTCCAGATTGTTTTTAACATTGAGCGTCCCACGTGGGCTTCATCAAGCACTACCTCATTTGATTTCTTTTCCTTCCACGATACTCTTAGCAGTCTCCTAAGAAACCACATTTCTGTTGCTTCTATTTTATTTTCACTGTCTTTGTGATTGTCCAGCATTCACAGCCATATAGAAGGGTTGACCAAACATAGCATTTCAGGACTTTCATTTTTGGTGTTCATTGAGATGTGTCTATTGATCTTGTGCACGGTGCACCGGCAGTGGAATTTAGTTGCCGCGGGGGATTCCCCGCCGGGCGCCTGATCACGTCGGGGTCACGGGGATCAGCTCCCTGTCGCCGCTGTCTGGGCCGACTTAATTTTTGGTACTTTTCAACGTACAATTTAAGGTGTATCCTTGTATTTATGGTAATTCTCATTTAGTGCACCCAAAGCTCTTGAGACTCAAAAAAGAAGAGACGTTGTGACTTGTCTGGTAATTTCGTTAGACGCGCTTGAGTCGGCAATGCTAAATTGTTATGTTTTTTGGACTAGCGTGAATGAAAGAAAATCAATATTAAAAAAAGCCCTCGTCAAAATCTGTCGAACTTTTGGAACATGAACGACATAGCATTGGTGCAGATACTCAGAAAAGATGGTATCTGCGAATAATAGAAAGCTGTAATTTTGCAACTTTATCTATCGGGCACACAATTCGCTATGAAGTAATTCCTCCAAATACAACTTTATGTGTCTAATATAATCGTGAATATTCGCATATTTTCTCGAAAGTTTATAAAAGTCACCATGAAGTTTCTCTACTCTATGAAGAGTACAAATCGATTTTAGCGCTAGAATGCATCTTCAATGTAGATCTAATACACGAACAGCATCTGTTACACTCCAGAAATTCCTTACTTTTCTTAAATCGCTAAGTCTAGGTTTTGTAAGTTGACTGAATAATAGGGATGACTTCTCGTAATTGGGTTATAAGAATAATTTCTAGCTTTCCAGGGACACTATCAGCACCAGACTTTTACAGCTTTATTTTTCGTTTCTATGACCATTTATTGCAATAACTGACAATGTGACTGATTTCTTTACATTCATAATCGTGTCCACACATTTTTCCGACATAAAAACTAAGAATGAATGTGTTAGCTGTCATTATTTTTATTCTATACAAGAAGTTTATCTCTACCCTTGTGTTTACATGGTTTTGTGGGGTTTTTAAATCGCTTATATTAAATCTTTTTAGTTGTGTGCAGGCTGCCACAGACACAGCATGATTCATGAACAAACGCAGAGTAACTTTCTCTTGTTTAATAGTAAAATAAGAGCTAACGCTGATCGTCTTTAGTTAAAAAATGCAGATGTGCATCTTTCTTCTCTTATAACTTGACTATTTCTACTCGCGCAGATTTAAGATTTCTCATGGTAAAAGACACCATATTCAAAGTCAGTTTAACACAGATATTGGAGAGATCTGTCGTGCCTTTTTTAAATTAACAATCATTTATTCATAAGTTTGTAACTAAAATAGAACAAATTGGGTACTCTACAAACACTTGTCTAGAACAAAAATAAGGCACAGAAATTAACCATTCTAAAGCAGAATAAATCTCAAGACATTGAGCTTTTAGTACATCCGCGTAATGGTTTTCTATGTGGGATGGGGAAGAAGTTATATCGTTTTAAACATAGTCAAAAATGCGAACTTCTTAACCGACACCGGCAAAGTCGCTTCAGAGCTCATTAACCCCGTGACCCCGAGCCGGGGAGCTCCGACGGGCTGCTGAGTCATGCTAACTAAAAGTAACAGAATCGGGCGAAAAGTGACGCCGTGTGTGACAGGGAGCTAAGAATACTAACTCAACAACTTGTCACCTATATCAGAATCACAGCAATAAGGCGGGTTCACAGTTCTGAGATCAGAGTGTGAAGGATGAAGCAAGGTGTTGAGTGTTAAAGCTTCACAGAGAGTAAGAGGAATCTTGACAAATGATGGTTATATATTTTTGTATTATAATAACAGTAGCCCGGTATCTAAAGAACATAGCCTAAGTATCTTGACAGAGGAAGTCCACATCCAACATACTCTGAAAAAAGCATTTATAATTACAGTACATAAACAGAGTTTACTGAGATACCACTGAACTATGATAAGACTTAATAAGAATATTCCTTAAAATACTCCCAAGAAAATTATCGATACCAGTAACAGTAAAAACATGGCACAGTTTGGAAATTTAGCCAAATAGCCGTACAGAGGATACATACCCTCCAGCAGGGGTTGTTGCATTGGTGGTGCCATTTAAAAACGTAGTTGTAAGCATCACAGGAGTTGTGGTCATGGACATGTTGCTAGAATTCAGAAAGTCAACAGAGCAAGACTCAGAATCCAGAGGTAAATAACCCTTTGGTCCAGGATTGAAGACTGGATCAATGCCAACATACAAACATAGCACAAGGCTGGCAAGCCAACCAGCCATTGCACCCTGGGAAATAAAAGAAAAACACATTCTCCCTGTTAGTTGCTTAACCCTATGTGCACGCCCTGGGGTCATTTTGTACCCCTGGGGTTGTATTCTTCACATTTTAGAATACTTCTAGTCCGAAGATCTCTTTGAAACTTTCAGTATTTCTCAAAAAACCCTTTTGACAGCACTGCTATGCAAAGCGTACGGATAGGATTAACGAGAAAAGTTTCTCTTTGGAGAATGGTGGCACAGAGTTCCCCATGTCGTATGGATATGATAGTAAAACATGACGTACGGATAGAATTAAATGTGAGGCAGCGTCATGGAATCAGGCTCTCGTCAATTTTTGGGCATGTAGAGTAATTGGTATCATCTTAAAGCTTGTTCACTTGTCTTTATTTGAATGAAAAAAATATCCATTTATCTTGAATACAAGTCGAGATATTTGCGAAAGAAGGAGGTGGGGGTCACCTGTTTTCAGAGGTAAAATTAGTGAGAAAATGGCAGCCAAAAATTAGTTATTTACTTAGCTTAAGAGACCGTGTTAACAGAAGATTTACATTTTTTGTGCCTTTAATTAACGTTTTTCAGAAAAATTCACACAGAAATGAGTTCTTTAATGGGCATGAAAGGTGTTGAGCCAAAAAACAAAAATTCGATAAAAAAAATCTCAAACCTGCGGAAAAATGCAAGTTTCTTCACTTTGATTATTTTGACGAGAGCCTGATTCCACCATGCTGCCTCACAAATAATGTAACAGTCTTTATTTAAATTGATTTTTTGTCCCTGACTTGTGTCTTCACAAACCCTCGGTTTTAAAAAAAGAGCGGTTGTTTTTCTCTTTAAATCAGGGGAAAAATACCTTCCAAAAGCATATCATTGCACAAGAAAAGGTGAATACACTACAATCAGTGTGCTTAACCTCCTATTTTATTTTCCTTTTGCAATGTAATGCTGTTGTGTTCACTGAACAACCCAGTCTTGACTTTATTTTTATGCCATATCCTGCTCTTTTTTTCAACTATCTTTCTGTGTTAAAGTAATGCAGTATTCTTTGACAAAAACTATTTTTAAAAAGGCAGTAAAACAAGAGCATCAATGCAAATATTAAAGAGCCATCTATTATCTTACCCATTTGTTGATGAAAGGAATAAACATGCCGTTAATCATCAGGCCCAGTAATGGACCCCCGACCATTCCAAAGACACCAAAGCTGATGGTCAGGGCAGTTTTCCCAAGAAGACTTGCCATCTTTGCCAGAAAAATGGTCAGACCACCGAAGACAAATACTGGAGAGACAGAGAGAGATGAAACATAAATCTTGAGAATAGAGACACAATTATCATTTCCTGAAATTATGAATTTATGACAACTTAAGTAGCATCTAAAATCTTCATAAATAAGAATTTCAGAAGGGGGAATTAATTGAAAACTGGGCTCAGAGAAGGAGAGTATGACGTAAAAGAAACAAGCATACCATGAGAAGTAGAAAAGGAAAAAAAATCCTTAGAGATATTCATATCACACTCAACAGAATGACTGGAGATATGAACTGTAGCATAATTGCTCACATTGTATTCAATTTTGTGGGAGGAATCTTACCTAGCACTATTGTGGCTATTGTAAGCACCATCTGAGATGGACTCTTCTTCTTGCACTTCTCATACAACGGCTTGAACACATCCTCTAACGTGACCGCACCGAGAGAATTGATTCCTGATGATAATGTACTGAAACATAAACAGAAAGCAGACAACCCTGAAGAGGCATGTATTTTTGTAAAACAATTTGTTTCACAGTAAAGCATTTTTTTAAAAGATGACAATAATAGGGAAATAAAACAGTTCCTAGTCCGGGTAATGATATAATCAAGCAAAGATAAACATCCCTTCACTGAAAAGTGCTCTCTCATGCTCCCACTTAAACTCTTCATGTGCCTCTAATTAATCATCAGCACATGGTTAAAAGGTGTACTAGAAATGCATTAATGTATCATTTAAAATCACTTTTGACAACAGATTCAGAGAGAAATCACACCCCTGAAAACACTGTAGGAGCATGCTTGGTTGATGTCACTATGTACTTTGTTCAAATACATAAGAAACAAGAACGTATATTTTTTTTTTAATCTCTAGAAACTGAATTAATTTTAACCCCTTTGCAAACAGTTCCCTTTCACCATTTGTCGAAAATCCTATGTAAAATATGTCCTAAAATCATTTGATTTTGGCAATTGGGTGAACAATAAAAAATCAACTGTATGGGATTTTATACTGCATTACTATAGCTTTGAACAGAATTTACCAGAATACTGAATAAAGATCTCAAATCTTTGATAGTTAAAATATTGTACAAATCACATAAATCTGTCATTTTGAAGGGGACTGCAAAAAGACTGAAACCCCTCTGTTTTGGCTGGCAAAAACTGGGCCTAGTGAAAGTTTAAAAAACCATACTTCTCAAAGGGATCCTCTGTCCTCTAAAAAAAAGGTTAGGCCAAAATTACTAATCATAGGATTTTACAGCCCAAAGGGAGCTCATAGATAAAATACTCTCACTGATAGAGCAAGGTTGAAGAAATGGGTTATATTGATTTAGGTGCGGTAAACAAATTCAACAACCACTTACGACTTGGGCATTTCAGATAAATTCCAACTCATGTCAGAGTGATTAACATCATTAGAATACTGAAATCAAGTTCTAAAAGATATTCTTTAAAAGTTTGGTTTAAGGTGATATGATTTCAACTTCATTTTGTCAAACTGAAACGCTGATTAATTAAAATTCAAATACACTCTCACTTCATGTTTCATCTTTTTGCATATGCCCAGGGCATCATTTGAATAAAACATACAAGTACTGAATCTCACCTAATGGAGGCACTGAAGACAGAAGCAATAAACAGTCCTGGCAGTCCGGGCATGCTGCCCATTGTTTCAAGCACAAACAAAGGCAACAACTGGAACATACAAAAGAAAATGTATTTAAAAACAACAAAACCATTAGAGGAGGACATATGTAGAGATTTTAATGGCTCGGATTTGCTCAACTCACACATACTACACATTTAATGAAGAACACTTTTCAGTTAACTTGTTCTTTGCCAGTGTTCTTTATGTATGCTCGTATTTGAGAACTGAAATAAATATCTTTGCCACAAACATATTGCGACACACAAAGCCACAGGACTAGTGCCCTCAAAGTGTATAACAATATGTAATTACAGAAATCTGTACTGGTTTATGATTTTAACAAAGCAAATTGTAATACGTGGTGCCTGTTGGGGGATTTGGGTCGTGGCGGGGCGGTTCGTTAGCTAGATTGAGGGCGCAAAGCAGCTACCATAGCACAAACTGAAAGCGCCCGACTCGTCACCTCAAAAACTTGTTTGTTATCAGGTGACGAGGCGGGCGAGCATCCCGACCCAACCAGACCCAATCCCCTAATGGGCACCCCATATAACATGCCTTACCTGATCAGTCTTAGATACCATTTCCTTGCCCAGGGGGTCACAGCCATCAAAATAAGCAAACATGACCAGACCCAACAAACTCAGAATGCTCAGATAGCAAATCCAAAGAGGAAGATTCAGCAGAAGAGCTCTGAGGAAAGAGGAAAAATTGGGAAAGTGGGGGGGGGGGGGGGAATTCAGATGATATGACTGCCTCATAATGGCTGAACTTTTCACAATTTTTTAAAAAGTATCTAGCATGCTGCAGTGCGACAGTAAATCACAAGATAAGTCAACCTGCAAAAGTTCAGGGTTCAGATTCACACCAGGTTGTAACATTTCTTTTTCTCTCAGCCAGAAACCATGACAGGAGGACACTTGAGCTTCACAACAGTATTAAACTGCCTCATCCTTAAAGGTGTGTGAAACTTCAACAAAAGAAAAACATTAATTTTTTTTTTTTAATAATGTGCTTTGAACTCATTTTGTTTTTGGCATGCCCCAAAAGCAGTGAGTTTTCTGAGGTGGCGATGTAGGCTAAAGCAAGACAGTTAAAGCTATTTAACTCTTTCTGGACGTAGTGTTGATCGGGGTCTATACATAATTAACTTGTGACTCGATTTGGCAATGTAAGTGGTGTACAAAATAGTTATAGAAGCATAACCATCACTCAAAATGTAACATATGATATATCAAATTGAAGAAATTGAATGAGGAACACATCCCAAAATGAAACAAGGGTTAATTTTGAACATAAGTATGCATAATAAGGGTTAGAAATGGCAAAGAGAAATGAGAAAAATAAATTTTGAAGGGAAAAATTACATTCACCAATCATGTGAAAGTAAAACAGCGGCATAGCTCTCTTATCGTACACAGGCCAAGAGCATAATCCATAAATTTCTGAATGCGCAGCTTTTTATTTGAAAGCAATATGCCAATTTTTGTTTGAGTTAAGATATTTATACTGAGTCTGGTTACATCGTTTTGTTGATGCAAGACTGCAAGAACTAATTCCCTCGTTTTTCCCCAAACCCATGCTTTGACAAAGTGAAACTAGGTATTGTCGTTTCTTAAATCCTTTCCGAGTTTTTCAATAACAATAAAAAGTAATTATAAGTGACGGATCGTGTTAAATCGAAACAATACTGAGGCACCCTATCACAGCCGATATATCGGCGATACGTCCGCAAGGGGTGTGGACTCTCGTCGATATATCGGCGATGATACGTCCGAAAAGAGTTAATAGATTTGTACATCACTATATAGATTCTAAAGTAAGAATCTAATATACACTTATAAATTCCAGGGGCGCCTGGCTCCCATGAGACTGCATAAACTAACTACTTATACTGCACTGAAGGCTAGCCTATGTTTGTAAATCTAATTTAAAGCCAACCTATCCATCCCAAAAGTCTTGAAAATTAAGCTCCTATTAAACTCTCTATCTCTGGCAAGCCGCTCCCAGCGGCTCGCGGTCAGAACTGCTGTGCCGGTGAGCCGCTGACAGCAGCTCGGGCACATTCCTTTACAACGACTTCGACATCAAATTACTATTTGGCAATTGCCAAAAACAGGTTTCTTTTTTCGGAAGTTCATTCATTAGATGAAGTACTATCATAATACGTTTGCAAGCTTCAATTCAATTACCCATTTAGTGACGTTTTCGTCATTTTTAGATTTAGTACCAAAAAAGGGCCCCGGCGTAGTTGGTTTACCCCCCCCCCCTCAGAGAAAAAGGGTTAAAACAGTTGATTAAAGTGTAATTTTATAGATGCCATGGGCTGGCAGGGTTTTTGTAGACTTTGGTTATGACTGTAAATAACCAAACGATTTCATGCACCAATTCAGCTGGCACTCCAGACAAATAGTACTGACACTGGTGCTGAACAAGCACACCGCATAATAAGAGATAAAAAGTACAGTTGAAATTGTCTAAAACAACCACCAATCATCAAGGAGAAAAGTACTTGTCTTAGACAGGTGGATATCTTACACAGTGTCATTATAATGTAAAAGAATACACAAGGAAGGAAATGAGAAGTGGCTATTTGATGGTCTTATACAAGTGGCAAGTGGCCGTTAGAGCAGGTTCGACTGTATTTGAAAAAAAACAAAAACATTCCACACACTTCAGCTTACATTTTGGACTTGCGTAGTGAGCTGACACTTGAGTAACGTTGTAAATTTGTCTGGTTGGCTCCATACACGGTCATCATGTTTGTCCCTCCACCAACCAAAAGTGTCCAGAATGTGTGGCGAATAAAGGGATCTGGGTCCATACTGTCGTTAAAAAAATACAAACAAATAAAAGTATAAGAATTCAATTACCCTAATACTAAAGAATTTTTTGTTCACATAGGCTACTTAACTGTTCATGATAATGGTGTTGATCTCTCAGCTTTCAAATGATGATGCCAATGATGATAATGATCCTAATGTGGGTAATGATGACATAAATCATCACAACAACAATGACAAAGAATAAAGTAAGAAAGTGAAATCAACATTACTGTCAAAAGTAAAAGATTAGTAAGTCAATATGTCACTAAATTTCAGTTCAGATGACATGGCTGTTCCCGAGCCGAGCACTTAGTTACCTGAGGAGTTGACCCGGTCAACCATGCCGAGCCCGGATGGTCATGCAGGTCACTTTGACCTTTGCTCTGCCAGTGAACTTTTGGGACTTAACAATTTTTAATACAGTTTAATTGCTTCATTGTGGCTTTTCCCATAAACAAATCAAAGTGAAATTACTATCAACAGATAGAGGCATTCTTGGACTGTACAGCAAATAACTTTTTATTAGTATTCTTAACAGGGTACCCTTTAAAACATGGGTGCAATTGAGGGCATCTATGGGGAAAATTGTTTCATAGGTCTACTTTTTAAATTGATGATATTTTAAAATGGGTACACCAGATCTCTTAAATAATCAGTGACATGAGGAGCTTTCAGAAACACTTACTTTTGGTTTGATTCATTCGGAAATGGGGAAATTGTAGAAGATTTACTTCTGTCCAATTAATTAAATGAGAGATTTTTCGTTGTTTCCTCACAGTTTTCACAAATATGGAACTTGTAGAAGGTTCACTGCTATCTAGTTCCATGAAACAAGAGTTTCCTCTTTGTCTCCTCACAGCTAGAGCTGCTTACACATTCACAGACACATAACATATGAATATATTATGTACTTATAACAATAAATGCAAAAGTGTCACAGGCTAGTTGTCTTCCTCTTTATTTCCTTTCAAAGCTGCTGCCTAAGCGTGGACGCATTTTGCGGTCTGTGGGCTTCAGTAACAGCTTTCAACTGTTTCCATTTCTTTAATTCCCACTGTCCTCTTCTCCAGTTTTGCGATGCTGGAGTGTATAAGTTCGCCACCCTGCTCGTCCATTAAACCCAGGCCAAATCCATATGTCCCTAAATAGAAGGCAGACAGTGGTGCTCTAATATGAGTTGTTTGGGTGTGACTGCGTTTGGATATAGTCATCTGTATAGCTTCAAATATGCACAAATTGCTGTTCCTATAATGTCAAACTCAGTTTCTTGTATTTTATGTGAAAGAGATGAGGTGGTGTACTTCAGCATAGCTGTTGTTTAATGAATCAGAGTTGTCTGATAGCGTGGGCTGCATCTATGATGTTTTGGTTAGATGTAAGAGCTGCTGTGAGTGTGCAAATATGTTTTGTGTTGTTTGTGTACACTGGACGCTTCAAGTATTGGTGACAGTGGTTTCCTATCAGAGATCGACTATGGTAAGGTCTCCAGCTGTGTCAACTTTCTTCAATACTTTTTTTGCACAGCGGATAGAGTTGCTTCTCGAACTTGTTTCGTTGAGCGGTATATGCTCTGTACACATTAAATTGTTGCACATTTCACAGAGATGTGTGTCTGCACTATCCGTGTCCACGTTACACGATAGAATACAAGTAAGTCATTTTTTTTTAACTTACACAAAAATATCTGCTCTGCTTTGCCTTCTTAACTTTCTTATTTCTGGCCCCGTATGTTCCACACAGGGTTTGGTTTTTTTAACCCGCAAGGTGTCGTTACCGGAGAGTTCCATTTTCCCTCTTGTAGCAGACTCTCCTAACACTTGTCGATAAAGAACCGGGGAAAGTGAAAGCGGGACCTCGGAAGAATACCGCGCGGGGCAGCACGGCGGCCGGGAAAATATTACAGGGTGAAGTAACAAAACTAGCCGTCCTGTTAAAGTTTTCCAGTGAATCTAAACAATTTTTTCACAAAAAACCTCCTTACTGACTCTTGACACGGCAGACAAAAAAAGGATAACAATCTGTGTTTCCCGAACGGAAAAAAAATCCTGATCTTTGTAGCAATCCGAGAAATAAGTGCACCACAAGGTAGGGTTAAGTACAGAGGCAGTGTGTGATCACGGTTAGAACTAGAACCAAAGTAAAGGATGCGGGTTACTGGGGAGAGTCTGGGGTTTCATTTGATACCTCTCACACCCATAGTGATAGATAAGAGGGGACATGTACAGGGGTCTAAATCAAGTGAAAATTACAGACTTCTACCCAAAATCGGCTAACAGCGCTATCGCCCAGGAAGCGATGCGTGGCCCGACTGTCAAGAGGGATTTATGACCCCCGGAGGTCAGCGGACGGGTTAAACTAAGTCCTCCGCAAGGATAGTGAAACTGAACAGCCGTGATGAATATTAATATATTTATATTTCTGATCATCTTGCTTTTACTCTCCAGCATATGTACAACGGTTTAAAGTGTTTGCTGATTGTCTAAGTAAGCTCCTCATTTGGTGATGACTTTAAATAAAAGGCTGAGAACATTCCTGTGATCTTTGACAGAAATTAAAATACAAGTTGGTAACTGTGGTGCAGTAGGTAAGTCACAAGACAAATATCAGTTCAATGGCTAGAAAAAATATTTGACTTGGCATGTGAATCGTGTAGGGGTAGATCTGCCTTGAATGAACAAGGAGTAAAATCAAGTACAAGACACTTGAGGAAAGTATCCAACTTCTGGACTAAAGTGAACCCTTTATCAAATATATTTAAAAACCCAGAAAAGAAGATAAAGACTTCTAGACTTACTCAAACCGAGGCAGCCTGTCTCCTTTCCGTGAAATTTCCCAAACTTTGCTCCAACCTCCAACGTCGCTTGCACCCTTGAACATAAGAGCCAGGAGCCCTGCCCACACAATGATCAGCTGGAAAGCATCTGTCCAGACCACACCTCTGATGCCTCCCTGTGCACAAAGTCAGGATGTAAGAGTGAGGGTATTTGAAATGAGGAGAAGGTGAACACTGGTATGTTTGCGTGTGTGTGTGGAAGTGTGTGTTTGTGTTTGTGTGAGTGAGTGTTTGTATGAGAGCGCGCGTGTGTGTGTGTGTGTATGTGTGTGTGTGTGTAAGTGTGTGTGTGTGTACGAGAGAAAGAGAAAGAGGGAGGAAAGCATAAAGAGGAGTGGGAGAAAGACACAGAGAGAGACAGAGAGAGAGAGAGAGAGAGAGAGAGAGAGAGAGGGGGGGGG